ACTACTGTTCCCAACAACTAATCACTGATTACTACTGTTCCCAACCCCTAATCACTGATTACTACTGTTCACAACAACTAATCACTGATTACTACTGTTCACAACAACTAATCACTGATTACTACTGTTCACAACAACTAATCACTGATTACTACTGTTCCCAACCCCTAATCACTGATTACTACTGTTCACAACCACTAATCACTGATTCTTTCCCAACTTCCCAATCACTGATTACTACTGTTCACAACACCTAATCACTGATTACTACTGTTCCCAACACCTAATCACTGATTACTACTGTTCACAACAACTAATCACTGATTACTACTGTTCCCAACCCCTAATCACTGATTACTACTGTTCCCAACACCTAATCACTGATTACTACTGTTCCCAACAACTAATCACTGATTACTACTGTTCCCAACAACTAATCACTGATTACTACTGTTCCCAACAACTAATCACTGATTACTACTGTTCACAACAACTAATCACTGATTACTACTGTTCACAACAACTAATCACTGATTACTACTGTTCACAACCCCTAATCACTGATTACTACTGTTCCAACCCCTAATCACTGATTACTACTGTTCCCAACACCTAATCACTGATTACTACTGTTCACAACCCCTAATCACTGATTACTACTGTTCACAACAACTAATCACTGATTACTACTGTTCCCAACCCCTAATCACTGATTACTACTGTTCACAACAACTAATCACTGATTACTACTGTTCACAACAACTAATCACTGATTACTACTGTTCACAACAACTAATCACTGATTACTACTGTTCCCAACCCCTAATCACTGATTACTACTGTTCACAACAACTAATCACTGATTACTACTGTTCACAACCCCTAATCACTGATTACTACTGTTCACAACAACTAATCACTGATTACTACTGTTCCCAACCCCTAATCACTGATTACTACTGTTCACAACAACTAATCACTGATTACTACTGTTCACAACAACTAATCACTGATTACTACTGTTCCCAACAACTAATCACTGATTACTACTGTTCCCAACCCCTAATCACTGATTACTACTGTTCACAACAACTAATCACTGATTACTACTGTTCCCAACCCCTAATCACTGATTACTACTGTTCCCAACAACTAATCACTGATTACTACTGTTCACAACAACTAATCACTGATTACTACTGTTCCCAACCCCTAATCACTGATTACTACTGTTCCCAACCCCTAATCACTGATTACTACTGTTCCCAACCCCTAATCACTGATTACTACTGTTCCCAACCCCTAATCACTGATTACTACTGTTCCCAACACCTAATCACTGATTACTACTGTTCACAACAACTAATCACTGATTACTACTGTTCACAACAACTAATCACTGATTACTACTGTTCCCAACCCCTAATCACTGATTACTACTGTTCACAACAACTAATCACTGATTACTACTGTTCACAACAACTAATCACTGATTACTACTGTTCCCAACCCCTAATCACTGATTACTACTGTTACCAATCACTGATTATTGTTCCCAACAACTAATCACTAATTACTACTGTTCCAACACCTAATACTGATTACTACTGTCCAACAACTAATCACTGATTACTACTGTTCCCAACAACTAATCACTGATTACTACTGTTCCCAACAACTAATCACTGATTACACTGTTCCCAAACCCTAATCCTGATTACTACTGTTCCCAACAACTAATCACTGATTACTACTGTTCCCAACCCCTAATCACTGATTACTACTGTTCCCAACAACTAATCACTGATTACTACTGTTCCCAACAACTAATCACTGATTACTACTGTTCCCAACAACTAATCACTGATTACTACTGTTCCCAACCCCTAATCACTGATTACTACTGTTCACAACAACTAATCACTGATTACTACTGTTCCCAACCCTAATCACTGATTACTACTGTTCCCAACACCTAATCACTGATTACTACTGTTCCCAACAACTAATCACTGATTACTACTGTTCCCAACAACTAATCACTGATTACTACTGTTCCCAACAACTAATCACAGATCATCATGGCTCTCAACCACTTATCTCAAACAATTATAAATGGTAATCATTGAGGTATAAGAGTAATAAAACGTTTCAGGATGTATTATTATTAGGAAAGAATCAACACCGGGTGGTAACAGCATGTATGTTTAGAATCACATCACCACGTCAATGATAATTTTTCTGTAGTAGCACATCATTTTTTTGTTTTTTTTCTATTCTAATAAAACAATGATATCTTTTCAGAACATCTTTCAGAAACATTCATCGAATTGCCAAGAGCATTTGCATATGTTAATCAGTCATAATTCGTATGATTTTGGCTTGGGTAGCAGAAAAGTTCTACCATCAGTGAAGAAGCTGAAGGCTGGATATTCAGAGGCGGAAGAATTAAAGTACAGTGACTTTGTTGGTGTAGTTCAGTTTCTTTTTTCGTAATGACGTTACTATGGAAACGTTGGCTTCATAGTAGGTGCATGTGATGTAATTCACACTATGTGTTCTTTGGGCTCTTAAACGTATTTTAAAAAAGAAAAAAGTCTCACGATACATGCGGTACTGCACCCCCACCCCCAACCCCAAGCCTTCCCCGCCCCCGTCTCATGTCACCATAATGACCAAAATATCTAATAAGAGTCTATTTATTCATAAACATTTCGACTCCTTCAACAGAATCACCATAAGCCTAATACAGATTGTATATAATCACATATGCATTAAAAGAAGTCTAAACAAGTGTCTTGTTGATATATTTCAACATTATTTTCATTATTTGACATTTTTCATACAGAACAGACATAGATCATAGTGTTATACTGTACAACATGTCATAATACCACCTTCACACCCACTTCAATAAGATCATTTACAGTCCGTCAGCTTCAGTAAATTCACTTCAAACTAGATAAAAAAAATTTTTTTTTAAAGTGACATTTTTGATGTAAAACTTTCAAATGATCTTTAAAATAAAAGAAATTTCCTCCGAATGCTTCCCTACTGCGAATAATGAATGAACATAATGAATATTAAAATCATTTCATCAATATTAAACACTTCATCAGAACATGTGTGGACGACTCGGTTCCTAACAACAATCTTACAACATTCGCTTTCGTTTCATTTAGGAGGATTTCACCAAGGACAGTTGTAAAGTACCGGTGTATCTATGCCTCAGACATGATCTCAGTTTATTGGGCATGAGCATAGTAAAAAACAAATCTGTGGAAACTGACAGACTCCTTATTAAAGGTGCAGTTCGCAACGTTTGCAGGTGTTTCTGGGCCTGAAACAATCCTATCATTTCATGATGCCTCGGAAACACTGTGATTAGCAATATTGCCGTGTAATATATTTCCTCATTTGTTTGTTTGTTTTTCACGTTTTTGTTTAAAAAAATGTCCAGCCCTACAATCAGCCCCGCCCCCCAACCACAACCAAAGCACAGCTGAAACCTTTCTTTCAATAAAAGGCAATTTATGCGACTATTTATAGTTTAAACAAAAGATTGAAGGCTTGTCAATGTGTGTGTGTGTGTGTGTGTATTTTTTCATCATTTTTTTGCATTTGTAATTCTTTACAAGGGCAACAGAGGGCGCTAAAAATGACAAACCGCTCCTTTAAGACTAGAGGTCGCATCACAGGATTGGTCACCTCCATAGTAGGTCCAGTTCCTTAATGGATTAATGAAGGTTTAGTCACATGAAAGGTGTACAAAAAAAACAAAAAACAAAACACCACTCTTGAAATAAAGGATCAATTCTGATGTTAGCGTTCATGATAATTAGCTAGATGTTATTATATCGATAAAGTTAACCGATATTGCATACGTTTCTATTGAATATTTTCCGTTTGTTTACATGAAGTGCTGTACACGATGATAACATTGTGGATAGGTGAAAAGGTTAGTAAAAGTGTTAGCACGGATAGCGTCCTTTTTCTAACGTAAGCTAGCGGAAGTGAATTGAGAGACGAGCTAACGCGATGTTGGCGGTCGATGAGGAGGAACAAAGAGACACAAAAGGACTGTCAGATTAGCTTTGTTTACCAAGCAAACCATTTCTACTCGCTGTGGTTTCAGATTATTTGCCCTTCAATTCTACTTAAGTGCTGATATTTCAAGTTGTTTCTTCGATTCCGCTGCAGTTCTGTTTTACTATAAAACGTTTTTGTAAACATTGTTTGACTCAGACGTTGTTTTTGTTGTTGTTGTTGTTATAGCGCAAGTAGTTTTACCCTGTGAAGACTAATTCCAGCAGGAAAGATGTGAAAAAGTTTCATTTACATACTGCACACACACACACACACACACACACACACACACACACACACACACTGACCAAAAGTAAACTAATCACACAGTGCCATCTAGTGGGGAAAACACTGTAAATGCAGGTACATGAGCTGAACTCAGAATAACCCGTGTCTCTTACATTAAAGATGCAATCAGCAATTTTGGTTGGATTCAGCCGAAGCTAGCGGTTTTCAAAAACAGCACTTTCTTTCAGCGTTTCCTTCAAAAAGCCACACCAGGTTTACAGGGTTTCACACTGAACCTTTAAGAGTTCCCCAAAAGACCTTTTTTTCCCCTTGATGACAGGGCTGTTAACGATGCAGTTACATTCATCCATCTTCTATACCGCTTATCCTTTTCAGGGTCACGGGGAACCTGGAGCCTATCCCAGGGGGCATGGGACACAAGGCGGGGTACACCCTGGACAGGGTGCCAATCCATCGCAGGGCACACTCACATACACACTCACATACACACTCACATACACACTCACATACACACTCACATACACACTCACACACACACTCATACACTACAGACACCCACGCACGCCAATCAGACTACCATGCATGTGTTTGGACTGGGGAGGAAACCAGAGAACCCGGAGTAAACCCCCGCAGCACGGGGAGAACATGCAAACTCCACACACACACGGCCACGGTGGGAATCGAACCCCGGACCCTGGAGGTGTGAGGCGAATGTACTAACCACTAAGCCAACGTGTGCCCAAATCCAATTACAGTTAAAGTTAAAGAAAATGAAATGTCGGGAATGTTCTTAAATATAATGCCTTCTGAAAAAGTTTATTAGTAAACACTAACACACTTAATCAGACGAGTCAGAAAGGTGTCAGAGTAGTAAATTAGTCTTCCAAACACCCCTACGACCCCTACGACAGGCCATATCATTTCTGCACCTCTGTAATTTAAATAGAACAGCTGTAACAAATTTATTTACCACTAAAATTTATGACGCTAACAACAGTTGGATAACTTACCTTGCTACCAACTTGTCACGAGGTTGCTAGCTAGTCGTTTCGGCTAGGCTTCCTGAATGTAAACAGGACTTTAACATAGCACAGTAGTCTTCTGACTTCATTCATTCATTCGTTCGTTCATTCATTTGTTCATTCATTCATTCATTCATTCATTCGTTCGTTCGTTCGTTGGTGATGGGACTGGAAGGAAGGCACCAAACTGAGAAGAAAAAAAAAATTCCACCAAAGTGACTCTGGATAAGAAAAGAAAATGTGTTGATGTCACTTCCTTTCCTCAGCACCAGCAGGTCTTTTGGGCATTACTGCTGCCGTCACATACTCCCGCCTCTTCCTCCAGCGCCGTTAGATCCAGCTGGTCGTTGATGGACACCCGCAGAAGATCGAGGTCCTTTTTATTCGCCTGCAACACCAGCTCAGCTAAACGTGTAAAGGACTGAACAAAACAGGACAGAAATAAAAGCGAGACACATGGAGCAGAGTTACAGCTGTGTGAGCGTGGTACACACTAGAGGTCGGCAAAACCGATCAATCGGCACTGATAACCGATTGCTGGAGTTATTGGTTATCGGCAAAAATCCACACCGATGGTTTTTCCCGGTTGCAGGAGTGGCTGAGAAGAGTCAGCCGTCAATATACAGTACGAGAGCGGCCTCTAGAGGTGAAATAAAAACTATCGCTGACCAATTTTGTCGTGTTATTTGAAGTGTTTTTGATTCATTTTGGACGTCTCTGTTTTTATTTATTATTCGGAGTGTTCTTTTTTGGTTCAGTTTGGATGTATATCTTTTATTTACTAATATATATATACACACACACACATATATATATATATATATATATATATATATATATATATATATTTGAATGTTTCTATATTTATTTCATCTTAAAAAGTACCATATATTTTCACAGTACAATCAATACTGTTTTTTGTATTTTTGTAATAAAGTTCAACAATATTTTACTCTTTTACATGAACGGGTTTTCATTCAGTATCAGTTTTTAAAAATCAGTCGATCAGATGTTTGATCGGTTATCGGCAGATAGAGTTTTGTTCTCATTCTGTCTGAATGGTGTGCAAAAGTTTGCACTATATATATTCCTATATGTATACAATTCTCTGACAATAAGTCTATTCTATTATCACATTTTCTTTCCTATTCCATTCTCACCTCTTAGCTTCGTCTATATTCTATCCTGTAGTATTTCGTTTTATTCCAGGCTATACTTACCATTTTATACTGAACTATTCACTGACAAATTCACTTCAACCCTGTTCATACTCTTTCGCTTCTGTTCTACTCTTTTCTATTTTCTCTCTATTTTCTCAGAAAATGAACAGCTTGATGCATATACATACCTCTGTGATGTTGTGATTGGTAAAGGCACTTGTCTCATAAAAGTCCATTCCATAAGCTTTAGCAAGCTACAGTCGGGGAACAAACACATCACTGTTTGTACACTTTTAATGGTGAACACACACACACACACACACACATACACACCAACCTTGTTTCCCTGTTCTGTGGCCACTTGTCTCTTGTGTTCCTCGTCCGATTTGTTTCCAATCAGCACCTTCTGCACTTTGTCAGGAGCGTACTTAACAGACGGAGAAACATGAGAGAGTGCTAGTGTAAAGATTCAGAAAGCAGTATAGCAGTATCCCGAGACACAGAGGCAGCTGATGTGACAGATTGTTGTTTTATCGCTAGGTCATCAGTCTTGCCCCGAGAGTGTCGTTCACCTATGGTCTCATTAGTGTTCTGTGTAAAACTGGCAAGAAACGGCCACTGGGGGGCGTGATTGGTGAAGGGTGCTTGGACCACGCACATTGCTGTTTCATGATAGTTTGTTTATTGTTTGTCCATTCATCTATTCATCCATTCATCTATTTATCATCCATCTATTTATCCATTCATCTATTCATCCATTCATCTATTTATCATCCATCTATTTATCCATTCATCTATTCATCCATTCATCTATTCATCCATTCATCTATTTATCATCCATCTATTTATCCATTCATCTATTCATCCATTCATCTATTCATCCATCCACCTATTTATCCATTCATCTATTCATCCATCCACCTATTTATCATCCATCTATTTATCCATTCATCTATTCATCCATTCATCTATTTATCATCCACCTATTTATCCATTCATCTATTCATCCATCCACCTATTTATCCATTCATCTATTCATCCATTCATGTATTCATCCATCCACCTATTTATCCATTCATCTATTCATCCATTTATTTATTCATCCATCCACCTATTTATCCATTCATCTATTCATCCATCCACCTATTTATCCATTCATCCATTCATCTATTTTTCATCCATTCATCTATTTATCATCCATCTATTTATCCATTCATCTATTCATCCATCCGCCTATTTATCCATTCATCTATTCATCCATTCATCTATTTTTCATCCATTCATCTATTTATCATCCATCTATTTATCCATTCATCTATTCATCCATCCACCTATTCATCCATCCACCTATTTATCCATTCATCTATTCATCCATCCGCCTATTTATCCATTCATCTATTCATCCATCCGCCTATTTATCCATTCATCTATTCATCCATCCGCCTATTTATCCATCCATCTATTCATCCATTCATCTATTTTTCATCCATTCATCTATTCATCCATCCACCTATTTATCCATTCATCTATTCATCCATTCATCTATTCATCCATCCGCCTATTTATCCATTCATCTATTCATCCATCCACCTATTTATCCATTCATCTATTCATCCATCCGCCTATTTATCCATTCATCTATTCATCTATTCATCCTTTCATATATTCATCCCTCCGCCTATTCATCCATTCATCTATTCATCCATTCATCTATTCATCCATCCGCCTATTTATCCATTTATGTATTCATCCATCCACCTATTTATCCTTTCATCTATTCATCCATACACCATCCATGTATTCATCCATCCATCTGTCTATTCAACTATTCATCCATCATTTATTCATGCGCCTATTCATCCATCCACCTCTTTATCCATCTATCCATCCATCCACCTATTCATCCATTCATCTATTCATCCATCCACCTATTTATCCATTCATCTATTCATCCATTCATCTATTCATCCATTCATCTAGTCATCCATCCGCCTATTTATCCATTCATGTATTCATCCATCCACCTATTTATCCTTTCATCTATTCATCCATACACCATCCATGTATTCATCCATCCATCTGTCTATTCAACTATTCATCCATCATTTATTCATGCGCCTATTCATCCATCCACCTCTTTATCCATCTATCCATCCATCCACCTATTCATCCATTCATCTATTCATCCATCCACCTATTTATCCATTCATCTATTCATCCATTCATCTATTCATCCATCCGCCTATTTATCCATTCATCTATTCATCCATTCATCTATTCATCCATCCGCCTATTTATCCATTCATCTATTCATCCATCCGCCTATTTATCCATTCATCTATTCATCCATCCGCCTATTTATCCATTCATCTATTCATCCATTCATCTATTCATCCATCCGCCTATTTATCCATTCATGTATTCATACATCCACCTATTTATCCTTTCATCTATTCATCCATACACCATCCATGTATTCATCCATCCATCTGTCTATTCAACTATTCATCCATCATTTATTCATGCGCCTATTCATCCATCCACCTCTTTATCCATCTATCCATCCATCCACCTATTCATCCATTCATCTATTCATCCATCCACCTATTTATCCATTCATCTATTCATCCATTCATCTATTCATCCATCCGCCTATTTATCCATTCATCTATTCATCCATTCATCTATTCATCCATCCGCCTATTTATCCATTCATCTATTCATCCATCCACCTATTTATCCATTCATCTATTCATCCATTCATCTATTCATCCATCCGCCTATTTATCCATTCATGTATTCATCCATCCACCTATTTATCCTTTCATCTATTCATCCATACACCATCCATGTATTCATCCATCCATCTGTCTATTCAACTATTCATCCATCATTTATTCATGCGCCTATTCATCCATCCACCTCTTTATCCATCTATCCATCCATCCACCTATTCATCCATTCATCTATTCATCCATCCGCCTATTTATCCATCCGCCTATTTATCCATTCATCTATTCATCCATCCGCCTATTTATCCATTCATCTATTCATCCATCCGCCTATTTATCCATTCATCTATTCATCCATTCATCTATTCATCCATCCGCCTATTTATCCATTCATGTATTCATCCATCCACCTATTTATCCTTTCATCTATTCATCCATACACCATCCATGTATTCATCCATCCATCTGTCTATTCAACTATTCATCCATCATTTATTCATGCGCCTATTCATCAATCCACCTCTTTATCCATCTATCCATCCATCCACCTATTCATCCATTCATCTATTCATCCATCCACCTATTTATCCATTCATCTATTCATCCATTCATCTATTCATCCATCCGCCTATTTATCCATTCATCTATTCATCCATTCATCTATTCATCCATCCGCCTATTTATCCATTCATCTATTCATCCATCCACCTATTTATCCATTCATCTATTCATCCATCCGCCTATTTATCCATTCATCTATTCATCCATTCATCTATTCATCCATCCGCCTATTTATCCATTCATGTATTCATCCATCCACCTATTT